GACCACCTGCTCTGAGACCTTACAGCAATTTCATCCTAAGATTAAAGACTGTTAACCACCTGGGGCTAATAGAAACCGACAGCATCTTTGACTGAAATGAGGTTTCAGTGCAGCTGAACACCAGGACATTTTCCAGTACACATATGTGAGATCAAAGAAGAAGCTGATTTGGAAAGGCCTCTCCTCGCAGGCTTCTCTTGACCTGTTGGCTTCCCACACCATCTGCTTTTGTTCTTGTTTTAGTTTGATAAGGCAAGTGGTCAAGAATTCTGCACATCAGTCCAGGAAGATATAAATGGGTCTGGGGTCATTAGTAACCAGCAGTATAGCCACTTTCAATCTCTTTCTAAACGATCTCAGATGGTGTTACAACTGCAGTGGGAAATCAAAATGCTGACCTTGAAGGACAGTTTATCATTAGCCAAGACTTCTGAAAAGAATGAACCAACCAACATTTTTTAATGGGCTGACAAAAAGGAAGAGAGAAGACAAAAAGATCACGTTCCCTCGGTTCTTCAAAGCATGAACGAAACAAAAAAATTTGCAAGGCAAGTGTCTACTTTCAGTGAAAAATTACTCAAGAGTATAAGAAATAAGAAAAATCTGTTACACTTTATATGGGGTCCCCAGAGAACCGGGACAGTATTTCTGTTTTCTTATGATGAGCTATCGTTTAACAACTTGGGAAAAGGAAATGCATGGGGACGTAGAATCTTGTGATTTTATTTTCTTTTGAGAGTAGAAAATACAGAAGGAGAGGAAGTCACTTGAGTAATTAGAATTGGAAGCTTAGTGCTAGAAAAAACCCACCAGAATAGGGAAATTAATTAAGGTATCTATGAAAAGAGGGGGGGTCATGTAAAATAAAATCTACACAGAAAGGATAAATATTAGTTACTGAAGGCTTAGCATGTACCAGGAAATTTCCCATGTAAGTAGTATTCTACAATATTTTACAGTGCAAACACTAGTGTACATTTCCTCAGTTCTAGACACCACACACACACACACACACACACACACACACACACACACACACACAGAGGGGGGGGTCCTTTTAACACAGGATTCATATCATCTTACAATCACTATAGGTCAAAAGTCAAACATGATATAATTCTATCATTGTCTATAAATATGCAAATTCCTGTCAGTTGGCCTATAAACATTTTTGTGTTGCAAATGTTGACTATTTTTACACTAGTATTCAGTGTTTAAATTAAAGTTATTTATGAGCATAAAATTAACAAAAAGGTAAGTAAAAATTTGATAAATAAAGCAAATACCCACTATAGGAAAGATATAAATGGCTTATGAGAACCGAAGAAATGAAGCTATACATAAATAGATGAATTTGTGTTTCATCTTATTACTGAGACTTAAGCAAAACAGTCGCTTATTACATGGTAAGCAATGATAGGGAAGGCATGACTAATAATCAAATCTTCAGGAATGGGTTAACAACATTTCCAAACTTGGCATCCTTGGGTTAACAGAAGGGTGCATTCATTATTAGCAATGTTATGTTTCCTTTCCTCTAACTGGTACATGACAGTGCATCTCCTGTCCAATGCCACTTAGATTCAATTATTAAGAATATTGCCACATCTTTCCTTGAGATCAGAAAACAGAGGCTCAGATAAATTAAATAATTCGTTTCTATGTGTACGGGCAGTGAGATCTTAGAGATATCATTTCAAACTAAGTCAGTCTGATACTAGAACTTATGATCCTAGCCATTTTGATAAACTGTTTCTGAAAACAAAGGAAAAGACTGCCATAATTCTTTGAAAGATTAAATCAAATTACAGTACTTATCTTTCCATTGGAGTTTCATCTCACTCAAAGTAAAAGCTGACATTCTTTCCAAGGCCTACTGGACTTCCCAGGGCCTGAGGCCCAGCACTTCCTCCCTGGCCTTACCTCCTGTTCCCATCTCCTACTCTTCCCTCCACTCACTGGCTCCATTTCCCCTGACTCCTTCCTGGTCTCTTACCCTAGCAAGTTTGCTTCCATCTCAGGCCTGTACTTGGGCCTTCACTGTTCTCCCTACTTGGAACAATTCCCACCTCTTCTCCACTTAGGTTACACCCATGTCTTCACTGCTCAAATGTCATCATATCAGGAGGCCCTCCCTGATCATAGACATAAAACTGCAGCACTTTCCTCTCTTATGCTCTTTAACCCTTTACTATGCGTTACTCTCTCCATATCATATGGAATGTTACACAGGGCCTTGTTCATTTGCTCATTTCATGGGCAGTGTAGGTCTCAGAGGGGAGAGACTGTTTTGTATATTTGTCTGCGTAGACAGGAGGCATAAATAAACGACTGAGAGAATGAAGTCACCTTCTTCTCCAATGTTAGCAGCAGTATTTTCATGTCTAGTTTTGTTGTTGATTCAGCAAACTACATGAAGTAGCATCTTTGTAGTGCTATTAATTACAAATCAGTAATTCTGATTTTCATTCCATTTGGGAAATTAGTATGGGGGTGACACCCAGAGTATTTTCAAAGGTAGACTGCACAGGAAAACCACCCTGATTTGGAGCTGTTTCTGCTGCTTGCCTCCATGAAGTCATGCAAGTTTCTCAATTCCGTTTAGCTTCCTCACTTGTAAGTTTGGGGGAATGAGAGTACAGGGTTTACTTCTAAGGATTATTACATGAATTAAGGTAAGTAATACAAGGCCTTCCGGGAGCTAAGTATTCAGTAAAAAAAAATTTTATAGCACAATTTACAGCCTAATTAGAGCCATGAAGAGCAAGATAGTCCTCAGTCAGAGGAAATGGTTCTGCCAAAGGAATATTTGGTAATGTTGAAGACATTTTTCTTATCACAGCTGGGAATGAAATGTGAGGCACCAATAGCATCTCTCTGTTAGACACAAGGCAAGGGTTACTATTAAGGTTCTTACAATGTGCAAAATTGCACATTATCTGTTCCAAATATCAATAAAAACATGATGAGGAACCATGATAGAGAATTTCTGTTTTAAAATACTGCAAACTAATATCCCCGATGTGAGAAATTGAAAGAAGAAACATTTCTAAAGCAACTACCATGAATCCCCTGTCTGAAAAATCAGAGCGGAGACAGTAGCCCACATTCAGGTCACCCTGCTCCAGAGGCACAACCTTAACCTTTCCTTACCACTACCCTTTATGACTCAAGCCTGGGTCTGCTTACTGCAGTCTAGATCACAGGACTTTAGAAGGTGCTTCAAGGACCGGCGTTAGCCTGTTCAATTCTGCATTAGACCACTAGAGGGTAGAGAAACCCTATCATTCAGTGATTGGGCATGAGATTTATAGTAATGTCAATCTTGCTAAATTATTAGTGGCCTTTAAAAATTGAAATTTCTCAAAATAGCTTCATTAAACATCTGTGTATCTACACAGACAGGAGATGATTCAAGTATTTCACTCTAATTTTCATCACACCTGAACTGTTAAGTACAGTAGTAATTAAATTCAGTATCATGTTGGAGACCTAGTAAATAATGATGATATTATGACTGTTATGACATTATTATGATTTTGTTCTGATAACATATTATGACTATGCTTGTAAAACTTTCTTCCATGTATATTTGATTCTGCTATGGGATAACATCAAATCAGGAATTAAACAAAAATTGTGTATGAACTGAACTCGTCAAATGAAATCCAAATAGAAGTAAATAGCATCTTTTTTATATTAGACCAGAAACCTCAAGTGGTAATTCTCATTTTCCTAATGATACTGTATTATGATGGCTCTAACTAAGAAGTTAGACTATCAACATTAAATATTTAGATGCATCTCAGTTCCACACAGTTTTATCATAAGGACACTAAAGAGACATTAAAGGGAAATTTTGTGAGCAAAGATGAAAGAATTATAAGAACAATGTCCAGCTATTTTCCTTTCCAACTAAAATAAAATAAATCTTAGGAGACAAATATTAAACTTGTTCTTGTAATTTCCCAAATTGCTCAAAATTGTCACTAATGAGATTAAAAAGTTCTGTTCAATACCATTCTGACTTTTTAAACTTACACCCACATGTACACTTTTAGAAATATAAATAAACAAAAAGCTGTGAGAGTATTTTGACATGGATCTGAATGATGCTGTCAAATCCAGTAAATAAGAATCAAAATCAGTGACTCAGAAACATTTAAGCATCACATTGGAAAACCTCAGACGTTAGGAGACTGGAGAGTTGCCAATTACGTAAGTCTGATCCCAGGTTATATGTTTAAAACTGTGTCTACAAGATAATAGTTTTGAAGCTCTGGGAAGATTTATTTTATGTCACTGTTTCTCAACTGTGGAATAATTGTAAACATCACAGTGCATGTGAGTGGACAGAGAAACAGTATTTATAACATTTCCTGGCACACATTAACCTGAAAAAATATTACCTATGATTATCATCTTATTTAACAGGTAAACCAACCCAAGAGATATCTAAAATTATATTTTGTACTAGATGTGCCTTTTCTTTCTAAAGTATTATGTCGTGTTCCTCCAAAAAAGCAGCAGAATGAACTTAGCAGACTCCATGAATCTTGAGAAACGGAACTTGGCTCAGTTTCAGAGCTGTCTCCACACAAGCTTCATTCTTTCCTTTCCCTTTGCCCCATGATGAGGCCACTCCCCTTCCTTTTTATGTAAACAACAGGTGCAAAGGTTGGAGGGAGAAGTAATTATTCTTTTTCTTTCTGTTTAGTCCCTGCTCAAGCCAGTCCTAAGGAGAAGCACTGTGTGCAACAGAAAATGACTGCTGAGCCATTGTGATGCTTCTTTGAACAGCTCAAGAGAGTTCATGAAAACATTTTCCCCTTTTTACCAAGTTCTAGGAAATTTCACTGGATTTGGAATTCTTTTCCCTCCTGAAATGAGTGGTGATGGCTCAATCATTGACTTGTGATCAGACCAGAGTCAGGAGAAAGTGAGTAATCCAAGAACAAGAGTAACAAAGCACAAATCCAGACTCAAAACCCTGTCCTCACCTCAGCTCTGCTACAAACCAAACCATTGATGCTTTAACGTGTTGTCCTGGAAACAAGACCCTTATATCAAGTTGACATGGAATCTAGCAACAGAGGACACCTTTCCTTGCTTTTCCTTCAACCTTGGTTGACTGCATTTCATTCAGAAAAAGCTTCATTTTCAGAGGTCAGTTCCAAATCCTAAAAGAGCCAAAATATCAAGTCAATATAGTAATGTGCAATTCATTAGTGAAAATTTGTGATTCACAAAGCTTTACCGTGCGTTTGTGTTATATTCAATGATGGCAAGACTAAGTTGCCTAAAAATGGAGAATTAGAGTATGTATGTAATAATATAGGTACTGCAAAGTTTGGGCTAATGTTCTTCCCATACATTTCTTTCTCTTAAAATATGACTCAGGGGCTCTAGTTGAAAAATGACAATACAATGTTTCTTTACTTCACAAAGAATTGCTGCGAATTGGCCAAAATATAAAAATCAATTAGGTTTGAATACTCATCAGTGCTTGTAGAATTTAAACTAAAACCCTAATTCTGAGTGGGGATGTAGCTCAGTGATTAAAACAGATTGACCCAGTAGCATTAGATGCTCTGTATTTTTTCAAAGATTTATTTACTTGTTTTATGAGTATGTGTGTGCGCCTGAGCATATGTGTGTGCACCGTGTACTCAGGCACACACATGCATGTACCCACAGAAGACTGAAGAGGGAGTCATATCCCTTGGAACTGGAGTTACAGGTAGCTTTGAGCTGCCAAATGTGGGTACTGGGAACCAAACCTGTCTCTTCTGCAAGAGCAGTACACTCTTAACTGCTGAGCCATCTCTTTAGGCCCAGATGCTCTGCACTTTAATTAATTTTATTTACAAATCTATTTGTAGTGCGCTAAGCACTAAAAGAATATACTTTTATCATTTTCATGTCTCAAAACAAAATTTTAAAAAGAGAGAAGTGTATTCACTAAGGAGGACTCTCTATTTTCCTTCATTTTCATGCTGTACACTCTTTGCAAAGCATTTTTTACAGCCAATCACACCCCAGGACCAACTCTAATGAATGAACAAGTAAATGATGAACCAGCAGCCAGGCCCATTCATTTTAATTATGGAGTTGGATTAGAAATTACCTAGCAACCACTTGAGTAAATGAAGGGGAAAACTTGACAGAGCAATTGCATAATTGTAATCGGCCAACATCATTAAAGTCTTTCTCCTGGCCATATTTCCTGAGCTCTATTTATCTGCAAGTAATCAGAATAAGCAGGTCCAATTAAGGAAAACAGCGACACAAACCCATCAGATGAAGGCTGCTGAGAAACATGAGGTCACAAAGGGCTTGGAAAAGTATTCAATACATCCTTTGGATCCTATGAGGACACAGACAACATGGTATCATGGGATGCTTGTGGCTGGAAATCTTTGTCAGGACAGAATTAGTGTCCTGTGTGGATGCTTGTGGCTGGAAATCTTTGTCAGGACAGAATTAGTGTCCTGTGTAGATATAACCAATTTTCCAGAATCCCACTAGAATATTTCCTCTGTACTCAACCCTGTGACATGGTTCTTGTTCTGTTTACAGTCTTCACATTCCCTGCTAAGGACCTGGAGTCAGAAGGATATGGAAAGTTCAGGCATTTTCCTTATAGGTGAGCACAGGCCACAGCATAAGCATTTCCAGTGGTAAATTCCAGCTCCTGGGAGGTAGTTTATTTCAAATATATTTATGGGACACCTATTAAGAAATGTACGTCAAGTTTTATGTCCAGAATACAAAATTAAATAGAATTAGGTCATTGCATTCAATAGCATATTACCTGCTAGAAAAGGGAGAAAGAGCTAAGGAGACATAACAAAGCCATGTGAAATACTTCTCTATGAGAAAGACAAGGTGAGTTAGAATACTTAATGTTTAGTTGATGTCTTTTACTCTTCTAAAATTCTACATATATCAACTTTTATGATCTTTTGATAGTTCTGGAAGTAAACTAAGGTGAAGACAGGTTAAATCACTTATGGGGACTACAGCCATTTGGGGACAAACAAGTAACATGATGGGAGAATTAAGAAGACTTCCTAGAAGGAGATCAAAAATGCCATGTTACATGAGAGATGGGTGTGCATCAGTTAGGCAGCATGGAAGAAGGGACAACCTGTGCAAAGAGGAAAATATATGCCAATGCCACCCTTAGCCCTGGCAAGAAGACTTCTGCATCAGGGCTCCTTTCTCATGGCTCCTTTCATGGCTGAAGACACTACAAATGCTAAGAAGTCATGCTACCTTCAGTGCATCCCAACTCTTCCCATAAACAATACTCTGGAACCCACGACCCCAGAAGTACCTACCCCAGTCACCCTAAACCCCTATGCCGAATGTCTACAAGCATCTTACTCATAGCCATCCTCTCAAGGCTAAAATGAGATACTGAGGGTTTGCTGGTAAAGAATGGCCATTACAGGGGGTGTGGATGGCACCTCAGTGTGTGGGTTGGGTGTCTGCATATCCCCATACAAAATCTTCTGAGAGATTGTGCAGATCAAGGGTTGAATGAGAAATCAGTAGGTGCTAAGAATTCTCTCCTGGGTGCTGCTGGCACTGTGATGTTGAATTCTGGAGACTAGAATTTTTAATGAAAATTTAACTTTATGAAGAGTTTTCAAGGTCATTTAGTTTTCAATCAGAAGTGGAGATTTACATACTTTACTATAACTTAGAGGTGAAGCAAACCTCGTTCGAAGCTGTGTCTCTTGTGCATTAGATCTTTCTTAGTTCTCTGATCACTTACCAGCTCTGACCCACTCCCTTATCTTGTGCATTATGTATAAGCTCCATGTATACATTTTAAGAATTTAGAAATACAGTATGTAACCTCCATTTATATACACAAGCCTTGGGCTTTGCAAATGATTAGGGCTGTGAGGTCTGAAGATAAAAAGCACTGTGAAGGAAACTAAAAGTAGATTGGTTAAGCTTGAGCCTAGAATTTGAATCAAAGAAAGAAGGCAGGGTTCAGAAAAGAACTTGCTTACCTGCTGCAAACTGCTAGTTGGTAGCTTGAATTTAACTGTGCAGGTCAGCGGGGAGTAGATAGGGTTTCCAGGTAAAGAATGAGCTGACACTGGGTTTGGAACACTTATGTCACATGACCAATCTGCTCTGCTCGCTAAAGAAATACAACATATTTTTGTTTTCTCTTTTTCCCTTTGCTTCTATCCAGAGTAGAAAAGAGAGAATAAAATTTTCTGTTGTGATCATAGAAGTCCAAGAAGAAAAGCTCATAACAGTGAGAAGAGCAAACATCAAGGAAAAACCAGCAACTCTAACATTCTTAACCGGCTATTCTCCTGGGAAAAAATTGAAATCATAGACACGGAAAAGTCAAGCAACTGAGCCAAAGTTCAAGAGCCTACAGATACTAATAACTGGACAAAGGTGCTGGTCAGAGCAGGCAGTCATGAGAGGGTTAAGGTAGACCTTTGCACAGGAGTTTGCTTGGAATGAGACTTGCTTCAACTCCAGGTCTTGTAACTCATTGAGGAGCAGCAGGACACTCCTTCGTGGCCTCCAAGAGCAATGCCAGTGGTAGGTGTGTTGATCTGCAGAGTAGGTTCTCTTATTATTGACTATGTAAGGCTGAATCTACCCATAGTTGATGACATCATCCCTCTGTATGTAGATACATAGCATGTGGTAGATATTTCTCACATTTTTTACCCAAAATAATCTAATTCCTTTCTAGGAAATTATACTATGGCTACTTCGCATGATTTAGGGGGAAATGGCAGCCCAAATATCAAACCCCAATCATATTTCGAGTCAACAGTAGATCATTTCCCATCCTGCCTTTCAGCCAGGTAGTGGGAATATGAACTAACTGCAATGTACAAAACTCCCGTAGTAAGGCTTGAAACTATGAGCAGGTGAGGCAAGACTACGAGAACACCTGGGGTGCAGAGTATGGCAGCAGCCGCCTCTGGGGTGTCCAGAAGCACAGCAGAGACAGCCATAGGAATTCTGGGGCAAGATCTTGAGCAGACTGTCCCAGGAGACCTTGGAGGTGGAAGATGCTTCCCACTGTTATCTCAAGCACAGATCTTTAGCATCCTATTAGCTCCTTTCATCCTCTCAGTAAATCCGTAAGAACCTCCCTTATATAATCAACCAGCTTCCCTTCCATGTCATGAGCAGCTCTGGCCTCCCAGCAGTGAGTTTGGAACCCTGGAAACTGATGATCAAAACTATTTAAGAAAACACAGGTTTTTACATAATCACAGTTTATTCTGGGAAGGCAGTGGCTTCTCCATTTGGGGGTAAGTACATTTAACACACTGCCTTACACTTCTGTGACCTTTTCTCAAATCTCACGGGGAGCTAATTGTTACAAACCCCCTTAGTTATCAACTTACCCTGGAACAGAGGTCCTCAAGGGAAGAGGAGCTATTTTTCAATTCTCTGGAGCTCTGTGATTTCTGATACTCTAGTGAAAGGCGGGGGGTGCTGGTAGGGATGTTAATTTGATGAAGCAGAGAGGGACCACACTGCTGAGGTAGGAGTGCTGGCAAGAATGAGCAGTGAGAAGTCAATTAATAGGGCGGGGCCTCGGCCCTGGTTCCTAGCTGCTGATCACACTTGAGTAGAATGATTTTCATCTAAAATGTCATTTTGGAAATTAGAAAAACATACACACATATGCAACTAAACAGATGTTTTGATTCTTCCTCCTTCTCTTCCTTCTACAGTCTCACAGGAAACACGTCTGTGTTGTCCTAAGTCCAGTTACTAATTAGCATGTTTCAGTAGCACATTTCAGAGAGGATAGAGAAGACTTTGAGGGGATTCCTTCCTTTTAAGTTGAGACAGCTGGTGCTAATTATCAAGCAGGAAGAGAATGTGCAGACAGATCATTGAGACGCCAGGGTGAAGCACAAGGTGCAGGGGTCTTTTGGTCCTGCTGTCAAGGCCCCTCTGGCTGTGGGAGGCTGATATTATCTATAGCTTCATCTTATCCCAGCAAGCAGCTGTCTAGTTTCATCATCCTGCAAGGAGGTAAGAAAGGCAGTCCAGAAGCATGAGAAAACTCAAAGGCCATTCCACATCATGCATGCAAACTGCACAGGCATGAAGTCAGAGCTCTGGAGTAAACCATGTCACTCTCCCTCAAAGATATTTAGTGAAATAGAAGCTATGACCTTCTTTTCTTTAAACCAGTCCCAAGGATTGATGATTCAAAGTTCATCTTCATAACTAATGGGACGAAGGTAGTCTACACAGCCTAAATGATTCTAAGTAAAGGAAAAATATCTTGGGCCTGGCAAGATTGCTTAGTGGGTAAAGACACTTGTCATCAAGCCTAATTACTTGAATTCTATCCCACGGTGAAAGAATAGAATTAAATCCTGCAAGTTGTCCTCTGACCACCACATGAGCACCATGATACCCCCTTCCATAAATAATTTAAAAAGAAGAAAAAGTATATTTCTCATATCTTTTATATATAGTCCAGTGACACTTGTGATGGAAAGAACGCTAGATCAAACATAAGAAATTTCTCATGTGGAAAACTTTGAGAAAGTTATTAAGCTTTTCTGTGCCTCAGATTTTCATCTACAAAACAGGAGTAATAAGACCTGCCACATGAGGACGACATGTGAAAATTTTAGACTATGGAAGCATAATACATATTTAATGTAAATCACAGTTGTAAATTTAGAGACATCTTTAGATGCCACTTCCAGCAAAAGCCAACAAAGGTAACCAACCCAAAAGAATTGTGAACACACCCCAAGAAGGAGTTGATTGTTCTGGGGTCTAAGCTTATATGGAAGAGATAGAAAACTTACGAGATGACTAGTTGGATTTTAGGGACCGATTCTATGATTAATAATAATTATGCAAAAAGCCTAGGAGACGGAACAATCTGAAATCACACTAAATGAATTTAAATTCCATTCTACCACCTTTGTAGGAAAGTCACCTGACCCCAACTGTAAAGTAAGGGCAACAATTGTCACCCAATTCACAGATGGCTACAATGTGACTGTTAACTGAGATATGACATGTATACAATGCTTAGCAAATTATAACTTTCATCTCAAGGACTCCATACTATATTACCAAGACAAGGTTAATATTAAAATTGCAAGGCTAAGTAATAAGTTCACTTTACTTAGTTATTTTTATTTTTTATGAAAAATGCTATTAGCTAGCATGTGCACAGTGCCTATATTGTACAGCTTTATGACTATTCATTCACCATAACAACCCTATGCGACAGCTTTGCTCTTCACCACAACATAAATTAACGTGATTGGTCCAGTGAGTGAGTCTGGGGTAGTCAAAGTGACTGAACTTCTTGCTAGAATAGGACTTGGTAGAGTTAAATTTGAATATGAAAATATTATGCATGCCAGCTGGGCCAAATACCCCCACCTACACATTATGAGAGTAAATGTGGTCAGTTGTGTTGGCATTCAAAAGTAATCATGTCTTAACTTTCCCCAAGCAGAGTCAGTTCTTTTTTTCCCCTTTGTTGTTTCTATTTTCAGGAAACTGAAAACATTTTGAATCATAAAGGAAATGTTCCCTCATTCCAAATATTCGACTTTTACAGACAAAAATAATAACTCAGAAAAATGGCAAGAGAAATCTGATGAATCAAATACCATTGAAAACCCACTTAACACCCACACTCACTGTCTGAAAAGTTCCCAGTTCTATCATTTTTCAACAAAGTCTGAAATTTTCATTCGGCATTTTTTATGTTAAAGAAAACGAACTTTCTTAGTCACTGTGAATGGTTTGTTGTTTTTTTTTTTTTTTTATGAAGCATCTAATTTTTAGAAACAGAGGCAAACCAGTGTCCTGCACATCAAGGTCTCAGTATAGACTTGCTGATTGATTGTGTAAGCATAGATGATCACCGTCTCCTTCATTCGTGGTAGATGATATCACCATTAATGAAACACACAGTGATTTTTGTGTACAGGTCTATTGAGCCTGGGAAGACACATGTAGATCATTAGTTAGTAGTTGGAACACAGCAAAAATTAAATATTAGCCTTATGGTTATATGAGAACAATGAAAGAAACAGACTCGTGTTTAGCTTCTATAGCCTGAAGAAAGAGGAACAGCATAAGACAGATAGGCTAAATGATGCTTGGAGGTATTTAAAGAGCAGAGGCTTTCTGCACACTCTGAGGTTGTATCAGCTTGTCCCAAGACTGCCTCCTCTCCCGCTAGCCTTTGATGACTCTATCACAGATTCCAGTTCCAGGCATGCCCCTTACCTACCAGCCAAGTAGCTCCGTTCTTCATCTGAGCTCTGATTTATGTTTACTCCTTTCCAACTATTCTTCCATCTCTAGTAATCCATGTCTTATAAACTTCAGGCATCTGATCAAAAGTCCTATGTCAGTTCCTGGCATATATATTTCTTTTTGCCTCCATACACTGAAATAGTATTATTAAAACTAAGGCCTCAGTATGTAATTATGTACCTTATTCCACTGGGGAACTGCTTGTAATAGGATCTATGACTGCTTTACCTTTTCTATTCTTTTCTAGCCCCCAAAACTATATCACACCACTACGCCATCAATCCTCCTGCCTTGGCCTCCTGGATTCCAGGATTACAGGCATGCACTTACCACACCCTGGTTCTCAAGGTGTTTTTGTTTTGTTTTGTTTTTTCTATTTGCCAGTGAGTGATTTCTTGCACAAAGAACCACATTTAGTAGAGTCTCCACGTTCGTTGTTGTTGTTAATTATCCACAGCCTCATCACCATGCTATTGAAATGGCTCTATGAAAAAAAAAAGGTATAATTAGTTTTGGGTATTGCTACTAGAAGTTGCAGAACTATCAGCATTGACTGCCAAAACCTAAAGACAACATCTGCTTAACTCCCAGAGGTAGATAGAAAGCTGTACTAATGTGATTAATGCATAGGAGACCAGTTAACATAGTTATGAACATGTTTGGGGGACTCCAGCAGCCCATCCTCCACCACTATATAATTAGTGAGCTATTAGTCTCTTTAGCTCAGTTTTCTCTTCTAAAAGAAAATAATCATTGGATCTGTGTCATAGAGTTTTTAAGATAAAAAAGATAATACAGGTGGCACAGCACCTGGGACAGAGAAAGCCCTCAAGGAACACACGATAGTAACATCATCACTAAATGATTAACCAAGAACTCAAATACATTTTTAGAAACTATAGTGGGCTACATCAATTGTACACAATATATCCAGATTTGAGATTAGCTTTTCCAAATATATATAATGGTTACTTTGGTTACTTAAAATTAAACTTACATGTAAATTAAACTAGTTACTTACATGTAAGTGATTGAAATTTTAGTCTTATATCTGACTCTATAAGAAAAATACAAAATGGGTCAAAGGCCTGAATGTTAAGACCTGAAACTATGAGACAACCGGGAGAGAACACAGGGAAATACATCAAAATATCTATATAAGCAGTTATTCCTTCAAAGACAAAACTCCTACAGATAAACAACATATCAAACTAAGAAGCTTCTGTGTAACAATGAGAATAATCAGCAGAATGAAGGGACATAAAAAAATGGGTAAAAATTACAAACTATTTATCCAACACATATTTTAACACCCATATTCACTGTTTAAATATCCAGAATATATAAAGAACTTTAAAACTTAACATATACCACAAATAATTCAACTTAAAATAGGCCAAGGATTTAAACATAATTTTCAAAAGAGTAAATTCAAATGAGTAACAAATTTTTGAGAAAATGCTCAACTTAGCTGTGAGGGAAATGTAAGTCATAACCACAGTTATAGTGACCATCATCAGAAAGTCAGAAAATAACAGATGCTGGAAAAGATGGAGAGGAAGGGGACCTTATACACACTGTTTGAGGGACCATAATTCTTGTAATGATGATGGAGAACAGTGTGAAAGTACTTCCAAAAAATGCTACTACATAGTCAAAGGAAATTATATCAGCATATCAAAAAGACACCTACCCTCTCCTAGCCTGCACTACTATCCTCAGGCCTCTTGGGGTAAGTCTATAGCGCAGCTCTCCACGTTGGGACTCCCTAAGCCACATTCCCCCTTCCACCCCCCCCCCGCCGTTCTATACTCCTAGTTTGAGCTGAGGCCTGCGCCCCTCCTAGTCTTGGGGCCCCAGACACCTGGGGAACCAATACTGCTTCCTGACCCTTCTCACCCAGAGCAACCCAGTACCTTTCTTGGGCTCCAGGAGCACCACTTCTGGTCCTGGCCCCGCCCTCACCTCTCGCTGCTTCCCTGGGCCTGCACCACCGGCTAACTCTCCTAGCCTGCACTACTATCCTCAGGCCTCTTGGGGTAAGTCTACAGCGCAGCTCTCCGCGCTGGGACTCCCTAAGCCACATTCACCCTTCCAT